AGGAAAGATTATATATGTTGATTGATTGTAATTAAAATGAGCAATTTCATTAAAGACATAAATCAATATTTTTAATGCATTTTCATGTGACTTCACTTTGTTAAAACTGTATAAATTTCATTATACCCCCCGCTTGAAAAGTGGGAGGGTACGGCTGTATATAGTAATCGGTATGTCCGTCCGTCTGTTACGCTTTGGGGTACCCATCTCTTATCCGCAACTCCTCTCATACCACTGAAGGAAATTAATGAAACTTTCACAGAACCTTTATTACATATTGCCATTGTGCACCTCCTACTTTACTTTTAGATCTGACATATATTTTGGATTTTCCAGAGCAAAACATGGATACTGCCATTATATTCAAGTGGGAGGCGGGGGGTATTATTTAGTGAGCTCATTGCTCACAGTACTTCTAGTTTGCATTATGTGATCAGTAGCGTGATGGTCAAAGACTAATATATAAAACCATAACACTACAGTTCTGCATTTAGGACTTTGATTCATTTACAAGTTTTTACATCACTACACTGCATAATTCCTTGCATCACTCCAGTAGGGATGACCAATTTTGTGTTGAACTGTTGGGGAGGTGAAGCTATAGCTGCAATTATGTAGTCCTCTCCAATTTTTTCAATCACTGCCCCCCAAAAGGGAGAGTGCTACATTATTGCAGCTTGTAGAGCTGTAGTGAAAAATGTAAACGAAGCAGCTATAGTGAAAATGTATAGCAATGAACTGTGGCTTCTTTGATTTGATAGAACCTCACGATAGTGTCATGTTGACAAAGGGTTCAGTAATGTTATGGAAGAGCTAAATCTTTCACCAGGAAGGCATGGTATTGCACAAATGACTGCATATGATGTTCAGAAAACAGATGAAATAGCAAATGGAAGAATATATGTAGAACAATCCAAAAGACATATTAATTCTTTCGCTTATTGAAATAAGAATTTCCTGTTACAATTTGTCAACATTTATGCAATACACTCAAAATTGCTAGTGGAATATGCAATCTTTTATCAACCCCCTTCCTAAGTATGATTAAAATGGTAAAAAAAATAAGCTATGAGGAATTTTTTCTCTTCGGAAACATTTATATTTTAAAATTTTGTTATAACAAACATGAAATCAGTATATGACATTGCTTTAATATATACATTACACATTTGTCAAATGTCAATACATTGTTGATTGTTAATGTCATTCTCAGAAAGTTCACATTTTATGGTACTTATGTCTAAAGGTAGTACACTTTTAAAATATGACAAATAATCTTTTTCCTCAAATTCAGTTTGAAATATCGCCTATCAGAACCATGTAAGAAGATTGTGAAATCCGACGTTTGACCTGAGAATGTGTATTTTTTTTTAAATTAACAGTCAATCTATTACGAACTTGTGTGATATTGTTTATAAAGGCAACCCTTTGTTACTTAAATTCAGTAAATACAGGTATATTAATAGCAGTTTATTTGAGACAAATATTGTGTAAAAATAAAACATTTATAGCCCAGAAATAGAAAAATTCACAGGTAAATATGCATTTTAACCACAATAAAAAATATAGACTCCAACTATTGGAAGATTGACCTTTAATACTGTTACTTATACATGTATAATGGTAAAGGGATGGATCTTGATGCTAGTGTCAGATTGTTCAAATGATGACAACATAGATTTCATGTAGTATTGTTGGACGTCGTTCTGTAAGCAATCCTCCTCAATCATAACTGCTCCAGAAGCATGTGGTTCCTTCCCCTTGGCTTGGTGAGGTGGATCAATATCTAGACCTACATGTATAATGAAATTTAACACATTATACCAGGCATAAATCATTACTAATTAATTTAACTGTTTAACTTAATATAAAAAGCTTAAGAATAAGTTCAAATAGTTGTTGATTCATCCTGCTGGTTTTTATTTATTATTCACTGAGGAACCTTGATGATTGAGATGAATTATTCAAATTTGGGGTAGAGATTTCTATCAATGGTGAAAAAATAGAACCTTCATGATCATCATGATTAATAAATATATATATATAATTATTTGATATGATACAGATTGAATTGTAATCTGTTACCTTTAAATAAACAAGCATCGGGTAAGGTTTCTCTAAATGCATCTGAAAAGGTTGCTTAAAGGTTGTCCTCCTCACTATCCTTAATCCTGCAACATGATTGGTACATGTTTGTCCAAACCTATATTTGAGAGCAGAAGAAAGCATTAATTAAAAATGCAGTTTTTCAAGAAGAAGGATCCAAACGCGAAAGACAGAAAGTAATTTTGAATTATTTATAATAGTTTTAAAATATTGATGGAGATTCAGTGAGATAAAGAGCTACAGACCACTCAACCCCATTGCAAAGTAAACTCAAAAGTACTGAATGTATTGTACATGTCATATTATTAAGCATTCAACTATCATTTGAGAAACAAAATTATACATTTTTTCCCAGCAAATCACTGTGTCTTTGAGTAGTTAAACACACAGATGGTCAATATCAATTTTAACATGTATGAACTGAATTGAACCTGTACTTTAACATGTTATAAGAGAAAAAAAAAACATATCTCTACTGGTATTTCAATCCTGGGGAAATAATAAGCAATAATAAATAGCAAGGTGGTGCAAAGCACCACCATATGTCATGCTCACCATGCTGTTCAAGTACAGATGGCAGACTTAACTTCCACCGTGTCTTTAACACAACACAGCACAGCAAGCCCACATAGTCGGACAATACATGTATCATTTTAACAATAGAACGTTCTATCTATGATAGATAGAACGTTCTATTGTTAAAATGATACATGTATTGTCCTACGCACCCGATGTGGTGAGGTCTTGTACAGAGAAACAGTTATATTAATTTAACTACAAACTTACACTGTATGAGGCTCAGAACACAGGCTCTGTGAGGGGTAAATGCGGCACACTGAAAGCAATATGGACTGGTTCTGTCAATAGGGTGATAAAACACTTCTTTCAGTGACAGTCACTGGCTCTGGAAGTACTGGTAGGCCTTCCCAACTTTATACTGGTTTACATGTTTCTTTGCCCTCTTTTTCTGTCTCATACCTTAATTACCAAAATAATCACTCATATGAAATTATGTGCACAAGTATATATCTTCAGAAGTGATGGGAAAGCAAATGAAACCATAATAAAGATTGATTACTGATCATACTGTTAAATATTGCAGCTCATTAAATTTATACTTGCTTCAAAACCATCTTGATAGTCACATACTGTATTATGTGTATTCATAGTCAAAGTTGATATTTATCTTTTTTGTAATGTCTATTAAATAGTTTTTATTTACTGGATATATACCTCATTAAAAACACTGTTAAATTGGTGATGAAAGTTGATGCCCAATTCTCCATTCCAAGCTTTTAATCTTGCCAGGCAGTTTTCATACACTGATACAGGCCCTAATGTTAACTCGCGAAGCTCATAGTCAGGTTATGTTTACATTGGTTTATTGATAAAACTGCCGAGTCCTCATGGTCCTGTAATTCAGTCTTGTCCTCTGTGTCCATGATGTGGAAAAAATGTGTCAGAATATGTGTGTAAAACGTAACAAAAGTCCAGTAAAATATCGAAAAAGATAGCAAAAATTCGCAACGTCAACAACTGGCATCCATATTGTTTACGCTGGTTTTTCCCCTATGACCTTTGACACGCATACATAAATAGGTAAATCAATATGGCGGCTCTCTGTGTGCAATAGAACTATTATCTTGCCAGACCGATATATTGTTTTGTTTCCATAAAAAGGATTATTTCCCTGCAGGTATTTCAAACCTTTGCAAATTTTATTTCGATTTACAAATGTATAATGGATGAGAACTTAATATGTCAGTTTTTTTTATTTTGCATTTGAGGTGCTGACTCTCATGCTCATTTCTAGGCAGAACATTTCTTGTTTTTAAATATCTGTAGAAAAAGTAGCAATTAGTCCAATAATTCCTCTTTTATTTTAGCTTCATGAATTGTATTCTGAGTGAAAATGTTTTTCTAAGGTACTCATTGTACTGAGCTCTTCTGGAATAGGTTCTAATTTCGGGTTACAAGTAACAGCTTATCAAAAAGCTTGCCTGATTAATGCCATCAATATCAATAGAACCTATAAACATGGTTAAGTTATGAACGTTTACAGCGGGGTGGGGGGTATATAATTTCACTAGCCTAGAGTAAATAATGAAGATATTGCACAAGACGTCATGCATTCATGTATGCTTTTCATTCAAGCAATGGAAAAAGAACAAATTTTATATAAAACATATGTGACGCGCCAAGCAAAAACCTCCCTTAACGAAGAATTTTGACATTTTCAGTTTTTTATTGATTCTTGTAGAGTTTTTCTTTCTCTTTCATTTGATGTATAACATGACATATATTTCTGTATATAAATGTATAAAAGATCGCATGACAAAGACGGGATATTTACTTTGACGTACAGTGTAAGCGTGCATAACTGCATGAATTTTCATAACGTAAAATCGTAAAATGATGTAAAGCTATATAATAATTTGATGATATTTATTATTATCAAACTTTTTATTTGATTTCCTTAAAAGTATCAACAATTAAGATTTTTTTCATTGTAATAATAAAAAATAAACATTCTAAAGTATATCTTTGAGAAACAAAAGACGGGAAGGGGGGGGGGGGCGAAATGATCGTCAAGGGAAAGAACAAAACTCGAGACAAAATCAAAAATCTTCTCTTCCTCTGGGAGATCTTCCAATTTATGGCTTTTTAATGCAGTAAAATGGTAGAAATCTATATCACTGCAATAGTAAAAGAAAATAAGAAACATTTGGATAAAAAAAATCCTATAGTGGTAGTACAGACGACACACGTACGGGTTCATACTAGCTTAGGCTAGTCGGATAACCTTAAGCTTATTCCGTAAAGCACAAGGCCTCAGGTTCGTTCCCAATTAAGCAGAAACACGTAATTTTCTCTGTTACACTATCAAAGTATTCATCTTAAAAAAAGTTCGAGACAGCCCTTAACCCCCCCCACCCGGCATTAAAATTTTATACAATACACAGAATAAATAGAAAGTATTGTCATAGTACCTGAAAGTTTAAAGAGTGCGACAGATTTTTTTTTCTATCTAAAGGAAAAGTAACATTTCTTTTACCACAAGTTAACTATTTACTTGTTTTAGTTTCGAATGTTTTAATACTGAAGACTTTTTGGCTTATTGAAAAGATATTCTGCACCCAAGAATAAATTGTATTTGTCTCTTGTAGTAGAGTTTGATCCTTTTCTTCTTCGGGTGTCGTTATGAAATCAGTCTTTCATTCACAAGAAGAACTTGAAAGTTGTCAAACTTTTTCCAATGCGTTTGTATTATTCAATAAATGCTTGTTTAAATCAAATCAATAAAGATTAGGTCATCAAATTTTAAAGTGTCCAATCATTATTTCTTGGTAAATTTTAACATTTGATTCATTTTTCCTGGCCTTAATTCCGTTTCCTATTTTATATTTATATTTAAATTATTGAAAATAAATATATTTAGAATTATTTTCGTAACTATATGCGTCTGCATACTTTTCATTGAATCAGAATGTAACACCCATCCCCACCCAATAAAATATATGTATTTTTAAATCTTGTTTAATAAAAAAATCTGCAATTTATATGTTTGAAGTTAATCATGAATTAATTTTGAACCGATCATTGTATAAAAGCCGAATAACAAACCACAATACCAGAATATATATTGTCCTTTACAAAAATTTGAATTTTTCAATTTAAATTTGTATATGACAATTAATTATCATATACAAATTTTAATTGAAAAATTCAAATTTTTGTAGAGGACAATATGAATCCCACAAGTGACATGTACACTCCACAACTTTATTTCTAGGAATAGAATGTAAGGCTTATACTAAGCTTCACTGTTACCTTCCTGAGAAAGTAAATGCACACATTATGATTTATTTTAATCATATTAAATGCTAGTTGCATTTTAGTATTGGTTAAAACACGCATGTTAAAAATAGCAACAGAAAGTACGAGAACGGATAAAACATTCTTAATATTCTTCGAAGTTCGATCATCGTAAACGGGAGGGGGCATGTCTCAGCTATGGACATTCACGCTTAATTGATTACCTGAATTAATTAAACAAGAACAAGGCACATGTACAATCTTAAGCTGTAACTTTTGTTATTTTTTAAAAAATAATTAATTGTTGTAATTTATACACTTTTTTATACACGAGAAGCTGTACATGTATGAATGGGTTAGTTGATCAAGCACGCAATATTCAAGCCGACCGACATGTAGGCCTATTTTTTATGTTCGATAAATCCTTTATCTTAGAATATAGAGCGATTTGATCATTGACTTAAGTATGTTATGCATTGTATTCAGATATTTATATCCTCCAACTTCCATATATCTTGATATCTTGAACAAATATAGGCATATTACCATGGATTAATATATTTTGCATAGGCGTCGGAACCGGGGGGGGGGGGGGGGGCTAGGAGTGGCTTAGCCCCCCCCCACTTTTTTCCCAAAGATAGAGTTAGTATAGACATTTGACTTTGCTGTGTAGGCAAAGCCCCCCCAACTTTCCATAGACATGTTGTAGTATAGATTTAAAATGGGGAAAGTGGTGGTGTTTGGAAAAAAATTTGGTACTGGAATTCGAACATACACCCCCCCCCCCCCCCCCCCAAAAAAAAATAGCATTTTCGTGTTGAACAAATGCACATTTCCTTTTTTTTCTTGCTTGTCAGGTCTCTTTGAAGGTATAAAAATTTCTTATACCTACATGTAGCCCCCCCTCCACTTTCAATTTGCTTCCGACGCCAATGTTTTGTGCAGATTTGTACCGTACTAATTTTGCATTAAACTGCCCATACATGTACATGTTCAATGCAACTTTTGCAGGAAAAATTTATTGACATTGTTAAAGTTTGTTACATGTATACATTTAATAAATTACGTGTAATTGGTAGCAAATTTTCATAATTTGAAACGCATATACATATTCATTTAATTGCGATTCAACAGAAATTAGAAACAAGATTATTATTTTCCAAGGTAGATGTTAAATCATGAAATGTTGGTAGTAAAGTCTTTGTCGGGGAAATAATTACTACAGGTTAAATAATCCTTAATACTAAAGGTTAAAATAAAATCATTAAAAAGAAAGTCTTTAACCTCGAAAACGTTTAATGTATACTTTCGTACTGCATTGATGTTTTAATTTAAGTTAAGAGGGCTGAATGAGCACCGGAGACGTTACTACATGTACATGCAACAGCCTGATTCAGTGATTTTATAAATGACCGAAATTATGTCGTTTTCAGGAATCCAGAACTCCAGAATATCTTCTTTAGTACATGTAGATAAACCATGCACAAAATAATAATAGGTTGGAATGTTTTAAAAGTGTTCAAACAAATTGTATGAATTTGTAACAATTTGTATTAATTATAACATTTTATCGATACATCATGTTTGCCATTTTTACATTCGGTGTATTATGTATAACCTCATCAAACAGATTACGAAAAGGTCGATAAACAAAATTGTGTTCAATCTGTTTAATTCTCAATCGTAAAATATCTTAGAAAGTGGGACTGTAACTTCAATGTATGCGAGCATCCGTAAATTCAAGACGAAATTTGCACGAAGTATGCAAAGAAATAGAGCAGACACACGACACAGGAGAAAGAGGGGAGGGGGGCAAATTTTTCCTACAGTTTTTGTACAACATGAGAAGGTGTTCAACAATAAAATCAATTGAGAAGCTCAAAAGGTTTTTCTTCAAAATATTCATTTTAAATCGACAGCTAAAACAAATTCCAGAAGAAGTGTCCAAATAAAATACTCTGTGTCGTATCTACAGAGAAAACTTTTTTAAAAAACTAAACTTAACTATTTATCAATCACAGTTCATGTTTTATTTATATAAACGGTAGCGTTAACTGTCCCAACCCAGTTTATACTGTATAAATTGGGTAGCTGTTAAATTAATTCCATAAATAAAAGAGCAGTAATTCAGGTCAATTTTCATTACATCGCTATTTAAATAAAAATACCTTAGTTTAATCCTGTTGAATTGCATGTGCATCACGATGAAACAGCTGAACATTAAATTTAGAAAACTATCTTTAAAAACTTGTTTGTTTGACCTTTTAAAATGAACCGACTAAAATCTTTTTTAAACTTCCTAATTATTCATTCCGGAATTTTCTCATCCTATCAACAACTTTTTTTTTATTTCAGAAATGCCTTCAATCTTTTTCAACACTGAAAATTTCCGACAAAAAAAAAATTCGACCTACCTACCGATGCAATTTTTTAACCCGAATAGGGAGAGGGCAAACAAACTTCAATCTAAAAACGGCCTTACGGGAATTTTTCAGCCACCACTGGAAATCTTTAAAAAATACACACTTAATTGTGAAAAGGAAAGATCATAGGCCTACAGACACTTGACGGAGGCAAAGTTTTTATTGAATAAACTACATCAAATTACACCCAAGAATCTGTCTTAGCA